TACTTGGGGGGGGGGCGATATATAATAATATTTCAACTAGATATCAGGAAATATTTCAACTAAATATCATCGAAACGAAACATTATTATATTCTTAACTATATATCAATAACAAAATTAAGCATGAACTTTCTTGAGCATGAAAGAAGACAAAGGTGAGAGCAGGGTTCGAATCCATGGTTGTGTCCGAACGAATGTTTCGGAATAAGAGACTTTGAAAGTGTGCTAAAGATATCTTTTATAGCGCACTGATTTGAAATTTCCTGTACATGTATTCATATGATTAGTGAAGTTTACATTTTCTCAAAAGGTGGAAACAACTGACCTTGTTAGATAACGTGGCTGTGTAAAAGTAGGGACATCATTCTGAATGTTTAGTTTTTTGGGTTTTTTTCACTTTAATTTTATGCAACACATTGTTTTTATGCCCTATCATTATGTGACTTTACAAAACATTTATGCAAAGAAACGTTTCAGTTCAGATTGCAATTTTTTGTTTTGTTTTGCGGGTCATGTGAAACTAAGTAAAAAAAAACAAGTGACCTAATTATCCATTAAGGTTATACAACCCCAATCAAATGGAAGAGTTTGTCAAATGTCTGATCAAATCCCCTCGGCTTCTATGCTTCGCAAAAGATATTTGAAATAATAAGGTGTCATACTGAAACTTCTTCCAGTTGCATGGTAAAATGGCTGCATCCATGTGCACCTTTTTCACGATTCAACACTGATTTTGCCGTATCTATCACCATATTTCTACTTTGTGGCTAACGCAGTAAGAAATAATTTTGCATATTTTGAACTGTTTTTGGTAATTAACGTGGTTTGTAATTGCTGTTGTCAATGTGTAAATGATTTTCTTGTGTATACTTCACAATATTTTACAATTAAATACATTTTCAGAATGTTCGTTAAAATAAGCGTGAATCTGGAGGCATGCGTGAAATCAGGAAATCTGAAGAGAAAACTATGGTGGCTGATTTGGTACACTTTGCGCATTGCGTTGTTGATAGCGACAACACAACCTATATCTTTTTCGCCTTTTCGTCTTTTCGCTAGCGAAAGGCGCCAAACTTTGCGTCGTTGCACTGTCGTCCTCTCGCTAGCAATGTACGCTTAACGAAGCGTTGTCGTGCGGCACGTTGTTGCGATGCCGCCCTTATAAATATACAAATAGCCAATCCTTTGGTTTGAGCCGAGCGACGATGTGACATCGCGACAGCACGCCGCATGACAACGAGTCGTTTAGCGTGATTCGTTAGCGACAGGACGACAAGTCGGAAGTCCGGCAACGCGCTGTGTTCCAAATCAGCCACCATGAAAAACAGTGCGTAATGATTGCATTATATTTGGTGCAATGGTCGCAGTGATAGACAAAAGATGCCGTTAGTAAAAAACAAAAATCTAATGATGTTAAATAATAATAAAAGATAATAACACTAATGAAAATCCTTACTTACTTGATTTAAATTTACTCTTCCCTTTTTAATTGTATGTCATTATTTAACAAAACATCTTTAACTGACGTAGTTTAGGGTTATTACAAAAATGTTGAGATACCATAAGCTTATAAAGTTATATACACTGATAGATAGTATGCATATAAACGCATTTGTAACGGCTATAACCTACAAGTCAGTGTTGATTTGAAGTAACAAAAGTATGCCGGTACCTTATCAATCAAGGGTAATACAAGTGTGTGTAGAAGTTATTGCCCCATCATAATTATTAAAGCAAAACAACGATTTAATCTTCACGTTTTATAACTTAAGGTGACAACAGACACTTTCCGTGGTACTCACATAAATGTAATTTAAACCAAGTTATTTTAGTAATAATTGTTATTTATTTAATCTTTATGCATTAAATGTCGCTGATCAGCATAAAAAAATAACATATTTGAAAAAAATGCCTTTGTAAATGATTGATTTTGAATAAAAATCCTAAAATTTTAAATCGTCATATCAAAGTCATTTTTTATTTTTTTGTCATCAAACTTTTGGAAAATAACCTTACTTATATTATCTGGGGAACCGTGTCTCAAATTTTTTCTATCTTTTCTCAAAAAAATATTACGTAACGTCAAACATTTTATGCGACTTTTTTCACCATACATATTACGTAATTAAAGATAATTAAGTCGCTGATTGAGCAAACAAAAATTCCTGACACGGTTCCCTCCGTAAATGAATTTCCTTTCATGTGCTTTAAACCGCATGTTAATTGCTTGATTATTAAAAAAGTTATGCCGATTCAAAGTTAGTCCGACCCGCATCAAACGAAGTGTCATAAATCGGCTGTTCTCTCTCGGACCCCTACGTTTCACGCTAAATAATTGCATAATACACAAATATCGCACCAGAGAGGGTCACAAGTTGCGGTAACATACTCTAACAACATTTTATGACCCAGTGACATCTGACCAATTAAAAAGCTGCTGATTAATATCAGTTTATAGCCGAAATTTCTTCAATTCTTAACGTGATTTACTGTTCGTCTGGTATCTTTCGCACATGTCACGTGACTATCGGTAAAATTTGAGGCAATCAGTGGGGGGAAATGGAACGCATTTGCGCACCGCTAGCGGGGTATTTAATTGTTTCCTTTTTGAAGTTTATTATTATTATCATCAGCATTATTATTGTATTATACCAGTGTCACTCTGCCTGTGTATTCGTGTATGAAATTCCGTTAAAATATAAAAAAATATAACAAAAAACTGAGCTTCTGACAGTCTTTTAAAGTCCATGGTAGATGTACAAATAAGAACAGGATATTATATATTTTTTTCCACCAAATTGATAATGCTTCACATATTTTAATAGAAATAAAAGGTATTACTCGATCATTATGATATGGCCTTCTTGACTTCTATTATGAATATCATCTATGCACGGCATAGAGATCCAGTTTCTACCGGGATAGACAATAAATTTCATACTTTGTCCCAGATTTATTAGTACTGTGTCCGATTTACTGGCGAACAATTTATTTTCAGTGAAAATATATTTTAATATCTTTTTTTTATTCATAGAGAAATAATCATCCTTAGACAATCTAATATGGTTTAGAAATTTGTCAGGTACACCTTACTACAAGTCATATAGGCGTTCACATAAAAATGTTGTCTGTTTTTGTTGTTGTTTTACTCGACATTGATAGAAAACGAGGTTGAATGTAAAGTAAGCCCTTGAATCCGTACAAAAGTCTATCAACTCAATGTAATATCTATCAGATTAACGGGACAGACAAATTATTTTCACACATTATGGATATTTTAGCAACTACATTTTTATTAAACCCCGTGGTTGTGCGATTTGCCGCTATGATTAATTATTTATGTTACGTACATTGGCCGACAATTTCTTAATTTATAAAAAAGGCTAAATGTTGAGATATTCATAAAAGATGTACGGTAGTTGTACGATACATGTATTACGAGAAGTATGGACCTGTAATTCACGGATTTATGGAACTACCGATTTCCCTCATTGATGCCTCAACAGGGGGCGGAGCGTTATCGATAATCGACAGGTTACGCGAGTAGCAGTTACAAATAGTATAGGTACCGTTTTAAAACGTTTAAAAACACATTTTTTGGACTAACTGCTTCCAAAATTAAATCACGAATGTGTTCAGAAAAGGTTGATAAATCTACTTAGCAAAAAATCTCATTTTAGGTATTTTCAGTGATAATTGACTCCGTTGTCACCTTAAGACTAATTGCATCACAGATACTCAATTCAATATTTATTTGACTTAAAAAAAAAAGAAAAAAAAAGAGTTGCCTCAACTAGGTTTGATCTCGAGACCTCTCGATTAATAAGCGAGCGTGCAAACCCCTCGGCCACGGTGGAGTTCTATGTTACCGGCCCGAAGAAAACAATATTATTCTAAATTAGGGTTTGTAACTCTTATTTTTCGACGCTGAACACAGATGTAAATAATCATGGAGCTTACTGTAAGCATGTATATCTATAAAGAATGCAACAATATTAGAAATCTTCGACCATTCGGGAACTACTTTGCTTGAAAATTAATGCGCCTGTCATTTGACAATCTTTACGCATTGATCTCCCCTGAATTTTTCGGCGTTAGTGTACATATAAAGGGAAGTAACCGCTTCAAAAAGTGGACTACTTTAGGCATTTGCAATTAACAGCATTCGAAATTTCGCTACCATTATTTTTTTGGTCTGACGACCCAAACAAATAAAAACGCACTTGAGAAATAAAAATCATAGCTTTTTATGCTTCATGGGACTTTTAATGAAAGCAGTATGAAACACACGTTGTCCTTTCATAATGAGCCTTAAAAACAACACGAGATAGTGTCATGGCCTATCATGTACCGTTTTATTCCCTAGTTAAAGTTCCTCGTCGAAGGAATATATTTATTTACTTAGTAAAGAGTATACTTTATTTTTATAAGATTGTTATATGTACATGGATAATTATCATTCTGAATTGCTTCAAATCTTACAAATTATCAAAATTCGTCAATTTAAGACATTTCCCATTGCAAGACCTAATTGTTGCGGAAGCCCATTGAGGCCGTTTCTAGTAAGAAGGCAACAGTTTGAACCTTAGGTCATAGAAATTAAAGGTTCCGTAAAAAAGCGTGAAAACGCCATATTAATTGAAAACGTGTAGAAGATAAATATCTTATTCTACGTCTTTAATTTTATTTCTTATTTAGATAGATATCTAATTAGTTAAAAGATCAGGTGTTCATATAACTGGCTTGGTAAAAACCGACTAATTGCAATAAAAATGTGTTAGACTGAGTTATTGACATGTTTGTGTTAGTCTGAGTTACGGACAGACTTGTGTTGGTCTGCGTAACGGCCAGGCTTGTGCTAGTTTGAGTTAAGGGCAGGCTTATGGTAATCTGAGCTACCAACAGACTTGTGTTAATCAAAGTAGAGGGCATACTTGTGTTAGTCAGAGTAGAGGGCATACTTGTGCTAGCCTGAGTTACTGGCACTTCAATCATGGTCACTTACCAGCCGGTCATTAATGGAACAGTTAATTTTAAAAGCGCCCTCTGCCGGAAAAGCACCAGTATGGAATATTTTTTAGAATGTTCCTCTTCCGGTACAGTGAACGCTTTAATGATTTGATCATTATCAGGTACTTGGCGCTTGTTCCATTTTGCAATCTGTTTTGTAATATCATGTATATCCGAAACTCTGTCCTTAGCTATAAGCCATCTAAAACTCTCAGGAAGAAAACTAAAATGAAACGAATACATCCAAATTACCATGTAATATTACCACATTATTTTAACTACTATTTAAAATTTAGAAAATATAAGAATATACGGCATTCATAATAAACATATATTTATAAGACCACTAATAAAATAGATTTTAAATAAAATATGAAACCAGCATAGGGATAAAGCAAATATGAGCCGCGTCACGACAAAACCAACATAGTGCCTTTGCATACTATGGTAATTTTTGGGGAGGCTATGCCGACCCAATGTTAATAACTGTTCGTCAAATCTTACTGCCGCGGTAATCAGGTCAAAAAATAGTACCTTGATTTTTTCTAAGCTGACTCATCACTCATCACAGACATTTACAATATGAAAATATTTTCATTCTTTTATTTCATATCTGCAATTTGTAAAGATAATAATTCTCTGAAAAATTCTTGATTTTTGTTTAAATCACTACTCCGTGACGTCATACTGCCGCGGTAATCGGTTTAGGCATAGGGGGCAGGGGACCTAAAAATGAAAAATTTTGTATTTCAGTGTGACCAGAAACACAATTCCAAATATTTCAAAATATGTTTCACAGGCAAATAACCAGTTGCACAGCATTATTCAATGATATATGACATACATTGAAAAAAATAATAGTTTGCATGCATTGCTCCTTCAAAAAATGACTGACAGCAATTTACATTTACCCCCACCCAGTCAAAATCACACCTAAAATATACCAATATGGGCCATCTTCATGAAGGTGCAGCATACTCCAGAATCCGCCCGATTCCTTTAAAAATATCAGTAACACGCAGTGTAAGCTATGGCATTTTCAGAAATGACAAATAAAGTGTCTGTCATACGTTTAGATTTTTCACAAAATTTATCTGAAATTTCTTACTTGTTTGGCGCCAACTGTCAAAGCTTGATTTTTAACTTTTTCACCTCCATTCGGAGAGTCAGAAATACATACAAAGCTACCAAAATGCTTAGTTTCGGGTAAAAACCCAAAAATATATCTCATTTACTACACACAAACAAGAAAGAATTACAATGACAGAGAAATATCAGAAGTTATCAGTACCTTCAAAACACCATGTCTGAGTTATTAAAAAATTTGACCGGGGCCATCATTCGAATATGTCCCCTGCCCCCTTAAGATTTTTTATGTGATCCGCATTAAAGCGTTTCCTTTTATTTTCTTAAAATATGGATTATTTCGCATTAAACGTTAACTTCGAGAAGTGTGTACTGCGGTTACTTTGTATTTAATCAAATATTTAAAAAAGACCCTATTTCAGGGGAAGTAACTAGTACAATGACTATGCCTGTTATATGATTTACTTAATATCAAGTGCCAGGAACCTGTGAGATGGTTATTTTTCTGTATTCCACCTTCATTTAAATACCATAAAGTATTTTCAGAGTATTTAAAGTCTTTTGGAAGAAGATTATAGCAAGAAAATCAATATTACAGCCATATTTAATGTCCCAAAATGAATTTTACAGCAAACCAGACCCCATTTATTCTGGCATACACCTAAAAATGCAGTAAAGATACCACTGTTGACTTATATGACATTATATACATTTGTAACAATTGAAAGTGCTCAATTATGCATTATTATGTCAATTTGCACAATATAAAACTGTTAAATCTGGATAAATGTGCACATTCTGTGAAGTACAGTGTTTGCCAAAATTCCAAATTTTTATTACCTCCCTTGACTTGACAGTCTACTTACTGTACATAACTTGATAAATCCTATCAGTCACTTCAAATTTTGACTAACAAATGTAGAAGGAATGTTTATGGGCACATTTGGGTCAATTCCAACACATTTTATAAATTTGAAAATTTCCTTAAGGGGACAGGGGACCTAAAAATGAAAAATTTTGTATTTCAGTGTGACCAGAAACACAATTCCAAATATTTCAAAATATGTTTCACAGGCAAATAACCAGTTGCACAGCATTATTCAATGATATATGACATACATTGAAAAAAATAATAGTTTGCATGCATTGCTCCTTCAAAAAATGACTGACAGCAATTTACATTTACCCCCACCCAGTCAAAATCACATTTAAAATATACCAATATGGGCCATCTTCATGAAGGTGCAGCATACTCCAGAATCCGCCCGATTCCTTTAAAAATATCAGTAACACGCAGTGTAAGCTATGGCATTTTCAGAAATGACAAATAAAGTGTCTGTCATACGTTTAGATTTTTCACAAAATTTATCTGAAATTTCTAACTTGTTTGGCGCCAACTGTCAAAGCTTGATTTTTAACTTTTTCACCTCCATTCGGAGAGTCAGAAATACATACAAAGCTACCAAAATGCTTAGTTTCGGGTAAAAACCCAAAAGTATATCTCATTTCCTACACACAAACAAGAAAGAATTACAATGACAGAGAAATACCAGAAGTTATCAGTACCTTCAAAACACCATGTCTGAGTTATTAAAAAATTTGACCGGGGCCATCATTCGAATATGTCCCCTGCCCCCATACGTACGTCTGTAATAAATAGTTCTGGTATGAAAACCCTTCAAAATAATAACTTTACCAATATTTTTTTAACAAAAAGCATAAATGAAAATTTATAAGTAAATGCTTTAATTTAGTGGCAAATATTCTTTATTATTTTTGATAACAATTTTCCAATTACTACGCAGCGACCAACTGTTTATGACGGGTCATTAACTAGAACGTTCCAACACCGTATTCTCCATTGTGTACACCGGTCTTACTGACGATATTTGAGACCGGTGTATATACAATGCCGTATTCTCAATATCATGCATGTTCTTTTGTTGTTGTAAACCATTAAAAGTCCTTACTATTTTTTAAAGACAAATAATTGTAAACTGTCGCTTACATCAGAGACATGGATCATGCTTGCGTGATAACTAAGGAAAACTAACTTATTAGTACACCCCAGGAGGCTGTACGCGGAAAACGGTCATAAACCGCTATATCATATAGCTGTTAGTAAATATTTTGCATACATTTAACTAAAAATTCACTGATGGTGATGAGCATATAGTTTGAAACATTATATTCTTGAACCATTATCGCCGAAAAAAAACTATTTAACTACAAAACCCCTATAAGGACCTTCCGACAAAATTCCAGCACAATATTACATTTTACATTAGCAAAATAAAAAAAGCAATACTTATATTTTCATCTTACATAATTCATTAATCAAACTTTTAACATAAAAGTATATTTGGCAATTGACAGATCCCTACTCTGATCTTTTATTTGTATAGGAATAAATTTAAACATGTGCTCTTTCGTTTAGGAATATTTTGTAGTGAAAGTCTTATATATTCACTGATCTAAAATTAGAATTAGACAGGTCAGGGATTTATACAACCAGTTGTTTACTTAACTATGCTCATTTTAATCCCAATAGAAACATTGAAATATTTGGGGTAAAAAACATGACCAAAGTACCTAGTAGTCGTTTACCCGGTGGTGACCCCATTAAACTGATTATAGATTCGAATTGATTAGAAAACACAAATAGAAACATGTGTTTCCGTACAACAAAAATCGGAAGTAAAGTGAACAGTTAATTGACAGAAATATGTGGTCAAATATGTTTTAACAAAGAAATAATTATTTCAGAGAAAGACGCAAAGATCAGTATGACCCCGTATTGTGTAATTAGAAAGTTTATTCAATTCTAGGGCATACATCATAAATTTTTTTTATAGTATATAGGGGGTATATTTGGATATTATAATTAATATTGGTTATTTGATAGAATTTCAAGTTCCTGTGTTTGTGATTTTTTATAGTATATAGGGGGTATATTTGGATATTATAATTAATATTGGTTATTTGATAGAATTTCAAGTTCCTGTGATTTTGATAAGGAACCGTCAGTTGTAAAATGTTATTGTTATCTGATAATGAACAGTCGTCATACTTGCTGGTATGTCATTTATTATTGACAGTTTAGGTTTTTCAAAATTTGTATGATTAACAGTCCGAATGTAGACCTCAATGAAATGTTCTGGAATATTAACAAAATGAATAGTCAACCACATTAACTATATATATGAATGGTTGAACACAACAGTAAGGATAAATAGCGCAATGTGCATATCTTTTTATTTTGGTAGCATATTTTAAGCAAAAAGAAAAGACACTATAAGTCTGAAACATTCTCTCATAGCCTCCCCATCAGTACATTCAGTGCTTTGATTTACTATAGTAATTTTTATCCGCGCAGTCTGATCAGGATCCATGCTGTTCGCTATCAGTTTCTCTACTTGTAATAGGGTTGGTAAGCGAACAGCATGGATCTTGATCAGAATGCGCGGATGCGCAGGTTGGTCTGGATCCATGCTGGTCGCAAACCCATTATGTTGGTTTTGTCGTGACGCGGCTCAATTATCTTTCAAAATAAAACAAACCGAGGCTTACACAAACACAGGCAAATTTTTCAGTGTGGTTTTACGTCGCACTCTTTAGGTCATATGGAGGCCTTCCATTTTGAGTTTACTGGTGGGGAAAGACGTTGGGTGCCCAACCGTTCTGTTTATTATTTCAGCCATAAAAATAAGTACGTGAGTAGAACCACTGACGTTCCGTTAGCAAGCTGGATAGCCTCCTCACGTGAAATAATTCAAAGTCTGTCGAGATTCGAACACACAGTGGTGAGGAGCACGTGGTTTGAAGGACGTCTCATATTTTGAAGAAGAAACAAAAAGTGCCTTACCAAGGGCTTTAACTCCACTGATGAAATTATTCGTGCTATAAGTTAAGTAATTTTTGAAACGGCCTTAGATGCTCAGCTAAAGCTTGCGTCTTGACCAATGTTCCGGTCTGGATAACTGTAAGAATTCTGAGGGAAAAATTGTTGAAAAAAATGCTCGAACTTACAACCATGATCCAAGGAAGGCAAACGAACCCAAGGCTATGATCAGCGTGATATGCTCCCAGTTATGTAGTAACCAAGCACACAGTGTGAACAAAGACAACTCTATAGCCCAAGACGGAAAACTGATGGTTGTCGACCGCCATTTTGATAATGTATATTCCCCTTGGAAAATACAGTAGATACTCAAAAAGAACGCCGAACCCACACCTTAAATAAATCAGGCCTTGATGTAATAAACATGTGAGATCGATATACCGGCCTAAAGGTCATATAATTATGTTACAGAAATATATTTTTCATTCTGTAAAATTGGATAATATGTATTTTCATTGAACGCCGCTTTTCCTTGTTGATCTTGTTAATAATATTTTAGTAGGGTAAGAATATATGTAATGCTTATCCACTGATGAAAATAGTGTTGAATGTAAATATATTGTAATTTGTGATGAACAGGAAGCAAAATGTTAACAAAGTAATATTTTGACTTCCCTATACAAAAAATACTAAATCACAAGAAATTTCCAAAACGCAAAAGGGAAGGGCCAAAAGTTCAAACCTGGAGTACAGTTTCTGTAATCCTGTCAAATTAATGACGTATACTTGTTTCAATCATACAATATTTGTTATTGTAAATTCCAGGCTTTGTTCAAGTCACGTGACGTGTTTGAACACTATTTGGTGATTCTGTCGGCGTCTAAATTTCGTTCAACATATATAGATATATTAATGCTTCAAACCCAAAATATATAGAATTCATACAGAAATTCATGTTGGGACTTTTAAAAAATATCATTTTAGCGTAATTTAAGTACATATAATCATTTTAATATTTTTGTAATTTAATTGCCTGGGTATCCATTTAAGTTAAAGGTCAATTTAAGCACTCATAATCAATATATTTGTCTTTTAATATAGTCACGAATGATTTCTTTGAAAATAAAAATCTACAGGAACTTACCTACGCCAATACGGCCGATGGCAAACATGACCCAGTTGACGGAGAAGTAGCAGACGAGGTGGAACACACACAGTATAAGCATCGAGAGAACAAACGGCCTCTTTCTTCCAAACAAATCTGATATATTGCCCACCACTATCGATCCCACCATCATACCGATCATTTGCATTGAACTGATGCTGGCCGTCACCCATGATTTGTCACAGACAAGATCAAACTTAATAACAGAAAAACAGAACCCCTTAGTCACCCATGATTTTGACAACAGACAAACTAAATTATAATAGTCTAAATAAGAAGAGAAAAAACGGATCTCCAGAACGAAAAAAAATATGAAAATGTTGCCGGCTCGGTTTGATTTGAGCCTGTTCATGGACGGCAGTGGGAAGTGCAAGTTACTTTCTACCTCCACCCCCCCCCCCCTCCCAGCACCTGCTCCAATACGATACAACCTTAATTAAAATGGTTAAACTGCAAGTGGCAAGTATATGCAGGGAATGTGTACAGTCGGTTCTGAAGTTAAGTAGTTAAATATTTTTTTCTGATTTCAAGTATAAGATATACTAGTATTGAGAATGACGCTCAAAATGGCTGTCAAGGGAGGCAATTCTTGCTTTAGTAAAAAAAATCAATTTACCTCGCTAACAAGGGTGTGAATGCTGTCATCAAACTCAAAATTGGAACATTTTGCCCCAGACATTGTGTCACATTTGTTATTCCAGTAATCTTCGGTTCTATTTTCCTGTCCAGAGTATGTACTTGAAGCGGAAGTGTTGAAAAGTACTAATACACCGTTTGACGTATCGTTTCCGGTGACGTCATAATAATCCAAACACCGCCATTTTGGAACGTATGCAAAAAAGGCATTACCTCCAATGCCCCAGCAAACGACAATCTTCATGAATTGTATTAGGAAAGCCAGAAGGAATTGGAAAAGTCCGCATCCTCCAAGTTTTATAAGAATATCGTCCGGCGTAAGATTGAGGTCTTGGTGATAACCTGTAAAAATATCATATTCTAATGTATGGTGACATTTATATGCCACTAACAGTGTTTGAGCACGAGTTTTGGCTACAAAAAGATTCAAAACCATTGTTTTCGAATTGTCGTACATCTGCATATTCGCCTCATAGAATTTGAAGTAATAAAATTACAAAACAAAATCTCTCTACAAGGGCCAAAAACATATTGTTACATGTATATCTGTTATTTTAAATATAAGTACAATGTAAACATAAAATGTTATATGAATCTTACAC